GAAACTGATAAAAACAAATGGCAAAGCAGAACGTAGTAGAAAGAATAAACATGGATAAATACATCTGAACTCTGAACAACTATTTGGATTCACTGCTGACACTTAAAAGAGTACCTTACGTCACACGAAGAGTTTAACAAACCCAAGCCGACGCCCCGACCCCCCCCCCCATCCCCATCCCCCAGCCACCGCCACGGAAGCCCGGTCGTAATCCCAGATCTAAACAGCCCCCCCCCCCGGTCGCAACCAAACCCCAGCCCTCCCTCCCCTCGGAAGCCCCAAGCACAAGGCAATAGTACCCAAACACTTGATCACCTGTACCGCCCACTACACGCCGATTACCAAACCAGCGTCGACGGAGACGAGCGACGACCATGGCGCAAACAGAGACGAGCGAGGACGGCAGTCGCCCGTCTGAGGACCGACGACCGTGGACGGCAGGCAGGCAGACAGCCGGCCGCCGGCGCCGACAACGAGCAGGGACGGCAGCCAGGCAGCCGGCCGCCGGCACCGACCACGGCGTCGACGGAGACGTAGAGAGCGGGGCTCAGCAGGCGGGCAGCCGGCCGCCGGCACCGACCACGGCGTCGACGGAGACGTAGACAGCGTGGCTCAGCAGGTGGGCAGCCGGCCGCCGGCACCGACCACGGCGTCGACGGAGGTGTAGACAGCGGGGCTCAGCAGGCGGGCAGCCGGCCGTCGGCACCGACCACGGCGTCGACGGAGACGTAGACAGCGGGGCTCAGCAGGTGGGCAGCCGGCCGCCGGCACCGACCACGGCGTCGACGGAGACGTAGACAGTGGAACTAGACGGTGCCGGCGGCCGCCACGGCCGTCGGCACCGACCACGGCGTCGACGGAGACGTAGACAGCGGGGCTCAGCAGGCGGGCAGCCGGCCCTCGGCACCGACCACGGCATCGTCGGAGACGTAGACAGCGGGGCTCAGCAGGTGGGGGCTCAGCAGGCGGACAGCCGGCCGTCGGCACCGACCACGGCATCGTCGGAGACGTAGACAGCGGGGCTCAGCAGGTGGGCAGCCGGCCGTCGGCACCGACCACGGCGCCGACGGAGACGGAGACAGCGGGGCTCAGCAGGTGGGCAGCCGGCCGCCGGCACCGACCACGGCGTCGTCAGAGACGTAGACAGCGGGGCTCAGCAGGTGGGCAGCCGGCCGCCGGCACCGACCACGGCGCCGTCGGAGACGTAGACTGCGGAGCTCAGCAGGCGGGCAGCCGGCCGCCGGCACCGACCACGGCGCCGTCGGAGACGTAGACAGCGGAGCTCAGCAGGCGGGCAGCCGGCCGTCGGCACCGACCACGGCGTCGACGGAGACGGAGACAGCGGGGCTCAGCAGGTGGGCAGCCGGCCGCCGGCAACGACCACGGCGTCGATGGAGACGTAGACAGCGGGGCTCAGCAGGTGGGCAGCCGGCCGTCGGCCCGACCACGGCGTCGACGGAGACGTAGACAGCGGGGCTCAGCAGGCGGGCAGCCGGCCCTCGGCACCGACCACGGCGTCAGCGGAGACGGAGACAGCGGGGCTCATCAGGCGGGCAGCCGGCCGTCGGCACCGACCACGGCGTCGACGGAGGTGTAGACAGCGGGGCTCAGCAGGTGGGCAGCCGGCCGTCGGCACCGACCACGGCGTCGTCGGAGACGTAGACAGCGGGGCTCAGCAGGTGGGCAGCCGGCCGCCGGCACCGACCACGGCGTCGATGGAGACGTAGACAGCGTGGCTCAGCAGGTGGGCAGCCGGCCGCCGGCACCGACCACGGCGTCGTCGGAGACGTAGACAGCGGGGCTCAGCAGGCGGGCAGCCGGCCGTCGGCACCGACCACGGCGTCGACGGAGACGGAGACAGCGGGGCTCAGCAGGTGGGCAGCCGGCCGCCGGCACCGACCACGGCGTCGATGGAGACGTAGACAGCGGGGCTCAGCAGGCGGGCAGCCGGCCCTCGGCACCGAACACGGCGTCAACGGAGACGGAGACAGCGGGGCTCATCAGGCGGGCAGCCGGCCGTCGGCACCGACCACGGCGTCGACGGAGGTGTAGACAGCGGGGCTCAGCAGGTGGGCAGCCGGCCGTCGGCACCGACCACGGCGTCGTCGGAGACGTAGACAGCGGGGCTCAGCAGGTGGGCAGCCGGCCGTCGGCACCGACCACTGCGTCGACGGAGACGGAGACAGCGGGGCTCAGCAGGTGGGCAGCCGGCCGTCGGCACCGACCACGGCGTCGCCGGAGACGTAGACAGCGGGGCTCAGCAGGTGGGCAGCCGGCCGTCGGTACCGACCACTGCGTCGACGGAGACGGAGACAGCGGGGCTCAGCAGGTGGGCAGCCGGCCGTCGGCACCGACCACGGCGTCGTCGGAGACGTAGACAGCGGGGCTCAGCAGGTGGGCAGCCGGCCGCCGGCACCGACGACCATGTCGCAGACAGACGACCGGGGACGACAGACGGACAGCCGCCGCCGCCGGCACCGAACACAATGCCGGCAGAGACGAGCGGGAACGGCAGGCGGGCGGCCGGCCGTCGGCACCGAACACAGTGCCGGCAGAGACGAGCGGGAACGGCAGGCGGGCAGCCGGCCGTCGGCACCGACCACGGCGTCGACGGAGACGGGGACAGCGGGGCTCAGCAGGTGGGCAGCCGGCCGTCGGCACCGACCACGGCGCCGACAACGAGCAGGGACGGCAGGCGGGCAGCCGGCCGTCGGCACCGACCACGGGCAGGCACTCAGCTGGCAGTCAAGCTGGAAGAGCTACCTCGCGATCTCCGACGGCATAACTGCTAATCAAATCGACGGAGATCAGTCTTGCACCTCAGCCTCACCGTCGCCGACTGCTGGGACTGCTTAACCTTCAGTACACAGCCGTCCGACCAAACCGCCCACAGCTTCCCGGCCCGCTTCAGCTGCCGTGCAAGATACATGATCTCTTGGTTCTTACGAGTCAGGTTCTCTTGCACGAATACCTCCTTGGTTGCCCCGTCGGCCAGACCAGAACTCCGCGGCGGTTTAGCCTGCCTCAGCTGCTTCCGACCAAACCATACAGCTTCACGCTTTAAGTACGAGACGTACTTTACGACCAGGGTGCGAGGCGACGGGGCAGGCTGGTTCGGGGCAGCCTCCCTGGGTCTGCCGACGCGGTGGGCCCTGTCGATATCCGCCCGGTCTAACTTGACGTTAGCCATCTTGGCAAGGTCGATAGCGAGTTGCACAGTATTCTCATCTCTCGATTCCGGCACCCCTGTAAAGTTCAAGCAGTTCCGCCGCGAATACTGCTCGAGGTCGGCAAGACGCTCCTCCTGCTGGGAGATCACCAGCTTGCTGGCCGCCACCTCCTCCTTTAGCTCTCGGATCTCCTTCTCTTTCTCTTCAAGGCCGAAGAGCTCCCTCAATGTTGCGCGAATCTCCGCATCGCCAAGCATGGCAAGAAGTCCCGCCTTCAAATCACTGAGTTCCGGCATTTTTGCTTCAATCACCCGCCGCCGCGCCACACACTAGTCCGCAATAGATCCCCTCACCGCCGCGCTGGACGGCTGAGCACTGGCCGCTGACCGCACAAACACCGGGTCGGGGTCACGGGGTCGCCGGGCGGGCGGAGCGGGGCCGCACACGTCCTGACCCTTGGCCGGTCAGTGGAACACTCGTTGTTGTTCTGCCTTACATACAAGGGGTCACAGAAAGGATAACTAGGTCGTTGAAACCCTACGCAAGGGTAACTTCAAAACCAGGACAGAGCCTGCGGAACATGCTGGTTAGACCAAAGGACAAGCGGGAAAAAATTCAAAATACTGGGGTAGTCTACCAATATGAGTGTGAATGTAACAAGGTTTATATTGGGGAGACGTGTAGAAGTATAAGGGCTAGGGAAGCTGAACACAAGAGAGCGATACGGAACATGGACGACAACCACTCTGGCATTTCAAAGCACGTCATTGAAACCGGTCACTCCATCCTATGGGAAAATGTCAAAATTCTGGCGTATGAAACAGACTGGAGGAAACGTAAGATTAAAGAAGGGATATTCATAGAAAGAGCGAAGGGTAGAGTTTTAAATACAAAACCCGGTGTACCGATGGCAAATGTGTACCGTGTGCTGAAGTAGTGAAAAAGTGCAGGGTGTCTCTATGCTGGGACCTGCGGAATTGTAATATGTATACTTGTATGCATGTTGTTTCGCCGTTTTGACGATTTGCTTATGATGTTGAAGCGCAGGTGATAGGCATGTGTCTTTTTTATCGTTGCTGACGTCTGTGATATTACCTGATATTTTTACTCTTCATCCAAGAAGCGAAGACTTAATTTAAGCATGTGATCACATAATTTTAGAAATTTGAATGTGCGCCACTTATACGTATTCAAACGATGTTTAATATCACGAAACGAACGACTAGGATGATTTGTTAATTTTGATTTGATTCTATGTGTGTCTAACTGTCTAGGCTGAGGAAGAAAGCCGCAGTGCTTTCGAAAGCTACCATAAATAAAAAGTACCTGGTGTTTCGAATATTCGTCCTAAACATAAAACCTTTTTATAAAAATATTATTTCCTATAAATATTTCAATAAAGGAAAAACTATATTATATACAAAATATTGCTTGCCCCAAAAGCTTATTACGCGTTGACCAATCATATTGTGCAGTACAAACCCATTTACTGTAAGCAGCATGGTGATTGGCTGACGATGACGTTTCTGCATTCCTCAGCAGGCACTTATTCCTCTGCAAGTCACCCTTTTCGGAACGAGAAATGAAATATCTTCGTCTAGGGGGTTCGTTGGGCCGTAAAAGATTCTGATTCCATGTTAAAAGTGAATTAATGCATTTAATCTAAAAACTTGATGGCACCCAATCCTCGCACAAGCTTACAGTCCTGTCATAGGCGGCAGACTGTGCCCCGTATTTAGCTCCGTACCTATAGAGAATGTTCTCTCTGATTCAGGACTATGGTAGGCGCTGGGACCCGCCATGATTCGTCAGTTATTCAGTAGCACTCACCTGTATCTACAATGACATCGATGATGTCCATCGACTTGGCGAAGGCGTCCCTCAGGTTGACGTCGTGGAAGCTGACGATGCTGCCCTCCCGCTTAGCGCGTTCGAGCGCCTCGCGTCGCTTCATGGCCTTCTCGCGACGCATCTGGTTCTTGTAGAACTCGGCGAAGTTGTTGACGATGATGGGGATGGGCAGGGCAATGACCAGCACGCCGCAGATGGCACATACGGCGCCGATCATCTTGCCGAGAGGGGTGACGGGGTGCATATCACCGTACCCCACGGTGGTCATCGTGATGATGGCCCACCAGAATGTCTCTGGTATGCTCGTATAGAGCGTCTTATCCGCCTCCTTCTCGGCAAAGTAGCACAGGCTCGAGAATATGAGGACAGTGATAGCTAGAAACATGAGCAGGAGACCGAGCTCCTTATACGAGTTGCGCAGGGTGAAGCCCAAGCTCTGCAAGCCCGTCGAGTGGCGAGCTAGCTTAAGGATTCGCAGTATCCTCATAATGCGAAAAATTTGTACGACTCGCCTCACGTCATCAAACTGCGAGTCCTTCTTGTTCGAGTTCGAGACGAGGAAGAGAGACACATAGAACGGCATAATGGCCAACAAGTCTATGATGTTCATGGCACCTTTGAAAAACTGCCATTTGTTTGGAGAGGCAGCGAAGCGCAATAGATACTCCAGAGTGAACCAGGTAATACACACGATCTCCACTTGACTGAGGTACCGGTTATCGTTGCCCCCTTCTTCTTGGAGCGTTGGTATGGTATTCAACACGAGCGCGGTGGTTGAGAGAACGATGAAAAGTATGGATATAATGGCCAGTATCTGGAAAAGACCAGGTGTCTCGGTCACCGCTGCGGCGACGGACAATGAAAGTTGGGACGGAGAGAATACACAACTGAGAACAACGATAACTTAAGTCAAAGTGAAGGCAGAGAAGAAGAGTGAGAGAAAGACAGAGCAGGGATAGATCGCGCCGGAAGGAAGTTGCCTGTCGGGGCGCGCGGGTCCCCCCGTGCCCGTGGCCAGAGCAACAACCATCGGCACACACCGATACAACCAAACAGAACGTGAGACAACATAGGCGGCGAGAGCAGCCACATTGCCAGCTCGGCTACATGACAGCAAACAGCGAACAGCGAAGGCGTGCGCGCGGCGGGGCGGCGGCGGCGGCGGGCGGATCGGGGCGGGGGCGGGGGCGGGGGCGGCCCGTCTCGGCCAGTGAGCGTCGCCCGCCGGCGCCGCGCCGTCGTGGTCGCCATGGCGGCGGCGGCGGCGGCGCGGCGCCGGCGGTAGCGGCGCGCTGGTGCGTTGCATCTGCCCATCCTCAACATCGTCACCCACGCCGAGCATGCTGCCACCTCCTGCGCTAGCGACAGACGCTAAAGAACGTTAGTACATTCAGGCAACGAGCGAGCGGCCGGGTGTCCGAGCTCTGTGGCTCGCCTCTCGGTCAGGCCGACGGCGGCGCTCGGTCCCACTCATTCTCACACGCAGACACACATACAGTGGTGTACACTGGCAGTTGGATGCACGTCAGTTTGTCGGAGGACGGTATGACGTCCTGCATCATTGATTTATCAGGCGGTGAACGGCGCGCTTATTCGTAACTTATTAACGTGCATGGTGCCGGGTGCAGTGACATGAGATGGTTGCGCTCGTTTGGCGATGTGGGCGTGAATGTAAGCTCGCTGATGTCATGTTCGAGTTTTTACCACTATGTGCCTTCTGTTCATGCTTGCTCGTCCCTGTTTTGAGTGTCGGTGCCCTCTCTCCCAGAAGAAGATAGAGTCTTAAGGCTCCTTCAGTTGGGTGCCCGCCGTCCCTGTATAGTATATGTCAGTACCAGTGACCCCCTCTCCCAGCAGCCGAGGGGGGGGGGGCGCGGCTCGTCGTCGGTCGGACGCGCCGCCCACCCGTCCGGCCGGTCAAATTGATTTGTCGGCCGCGTGGTGCCGTCATTAGGGAGCGATCTGATTGGCTCACCGCTCGATTGACGGATCACTGGCGCCGTAACTGAACCCCTAGCGGACCAGCGGGCGCACCCCTGGCCGGGTCAACCCTGATGCGGCGTCTCCAACCCTGGGTGGAGCTACATTGTACCCCGAAGGTCAGTACTCCAGTGTGAGACTGTGACCCGTTGATCAGGGAATGTACCTGACGTTTCCAGAGCTGTACAGTGTACGTACCGTGAGGAGAGGACGAGCAGACAGCCATTCTGGGGTCACGGGGTCACCCAGAGGTCATCAGGAGCGTTCAGTGTCAGTGTGGGTGGGTTCAGAGGGCTGACATGAGGACACGACCGAGGGTCGCCGCTGGTTAGAGCTAATGCGGATGGCTATAGCTAGCAGGCTCGCAGGGAAGGAGGTTAGCGTTTAGTGTTGGAATTGGTAACGGATGCACATACCATTAAGTGTTGGTTAGTATTTAGTAGCTATTTTGTAAATCTTTGCTAGTTGCAAGGCTGCATCAAGGCTGCATATTTACATACAAATTTAGCGGATGACCTCCTGACGACTTATAAATAGTAACCGTCTCGATTCAGCCCTGTATTGTTTTTATACGGCGATTTATGGGCCATTAACAGCGCCCTTGGTGACGGCTGGGCCTGTATTGCAGGTGTGCACGCCACCTGGTGAGCCATTAAAACCAGCACGGACGATGAATACCGAGCAATGAGCTGCAATCTATTAGACTCTAATTCGCCTATGAATGGTAGCACGAATGCATTTAGCAGAGCAATAAAACAAACTAAATAAAATGGCACAATATCATAATGCTATTTTGTGCTATACAGCATAAGTTCTTATGCCTACATCTTTATTCCTTGGAACTTTTTACTGATAAAAATTATGAATGCTATTTCAGAAATCGTAAGACAGCATCTGAAAAATATTTGCATTTGCTTTGAAACAGAAAAGCAACGAATTTTTAACACATCGGATAGGTATCAATGTATTAAGAACTCGCCGAGAAAATGCCTTGAACGATGCTGGTAAAGCTATGAATTTGATTTATTCCAAAAATATTCGTCTATCCTACATTACAGCTGTACATTACATTTTACATCTGAACTATCATCTGAATGCATCAGAAAGCTGAAGGCTCGCCTAAAAAATAAGTATTAACTTTGTAACAATTTTTCAAGGATACATGTAGGCCGTAGGGCGAATATTTCCTCACCCAATGCATACAATTTACGAAATTATGGCAACTAAACGCTTTAGGAGAAAGACTAATTGATGTTTGCCGAATGTTTGTTCAGCTGGTTTGCTTACAGTGTGTTTGTTGTCCGGTCCAAATTGTGAAAATGTGCGACATAGTTTTTGTGACAGCGAACATTGTGCTTGGGTGCGATTCATTCAGGTGCACAACATCCTAACAATCATCTTAGATGTCTAACATCAACCATTGAATCATTCACGTGTGGGCGGTCACATGTCATTTATATCATGTCCCACGCAAAGCATAGACGGAACGGTGAAGCATAGCCTTTAGCGAAGCCCTCGCCCCACCCTGTACACTGAAAAGCCCAACAGCTCAGCGCAAGCCGGCTCGCTCAGCCCACGTTGTCCCACAGAAGCCCGAGCTGAAGCCCGCCAAGCCCCAAGCCCCCAGTGACTTACCCGCGCGCCCAGCGACGTGGTGGGCTTCTCCATGAGGTCCCAGAGGAACTTTTGGTACTGGGCGCACCGGCCCGTGCCAAAGTCCTCCTCCTCTCGCGTCTTCAGCGAGTCGGCCTCCTTGCGCATTTCGTCATGCACGTGCTCGCGCCGCTGGTGGTACTTGTGCTGGCAGCAGGATTCCAGGTACAGCTCGTCGATGCCCCAGTAATCGAGGTCCTCGCTAAACGCCATCACACACATCTCCTCCACAAGGTGAAGCTTGCCAGTGCGGTAAAAGTTCAGAATGCTACTGAATGAACGCGGGTGCCGGTCGAAAAAGTACTCGTTATCGACCAAAGAGTATTCGTCACAGATCTCCATGATCGATTCGTGCGTGTTTCGGTCCTTGAGGCGGCCGAGGCGCGTGTGGGGCAGCCGTTCCAGGGTCGACCACAGCACCTCATGGCGCATGCCGCCCACGTTGATGATGACGCGCGTGTTGAGCGCCTTGCTGCGCATGATGGTGTACGGCTCCGGCGGCAGCGAGGTCATGGATCGCGACTGGTGACGGAGTGCCGCCGAGCCGGCCGTCGTCGCCGCCGCCGCCGCCGCCGCCGCCGCCTCGCCGGCTTCGCTGGGCGCCCGCTCGCGCGCGCCCCGCGTCTGGCTGCCATCGCCGCCGGCCGCGCCCGAGTCGCCGGGATTCTTGCTCATCTCCGTGGCCGCGTCGGCGCCTTTCTGTGGATCAGAGATGGGCCGTTAGCGCCGTGAATGGGGGAACAGTGGGCGGTGGTCTGCTTCATATTCCCCTCTGAGCCAACAGAGAGGTGCTCGGAATCGGCCGGTCAGTCCGATCAATGGCCGATACCGCGCGATCGGCGAGGATACCGAGTTAGTATTCAGGCTAGGTACGAAACCAAGGAAAAGCGCCTTAGACTAAACCACCTCTGGAACCAGCTGTGTGATGTTAATCCCGAAGACTGGCTGATAAAATCAACTGAATAATGAGGCTTTTAGTTGGTGTGCAAACAAATGTTCTTCCCTTATAACAGCGTCATCGTTCCTACCAATTCATGCCTAATTAGACATTACAGTGCTTCGAACGTTTCTCATTTTTGCCTATCAAAGAAATGATGTAAGCTCTGTTTTCTTTAGTCGGAGCAAATATATCCGTTAGGTATTATAGTTTTCAGTGATGTAATCGAAATTGATCAAAGGATATCGAATCGAAGCTGTAAGCAGCACTCGTGCGTACATCAACAACACACATTATGCGCATTTTAGTATGCAGGATGAGAGGAAATTTGCATTGAATGCTACTGAAATGTGACATGAAGTATCTATATTTACCCATATCTGTATCGAACAACATTTTTTAACATAAACAGAAAAATAGAAACGCATAAGGTTGCGTGAATTTTAGCGTGCCAAATATTAAGTTATAATATTGCGAAGGCAATTTGTTTCTGTTAAGGATCCGGCCCGTGTCCCGTCTCCCATGGCGCGCACGTACTCTGAAGAGTCGTCGAGCGGCGCTAGCCGCGCTGCGCACTGGCTCCATGACGCTTCTCGAGGTGGCACGTCGGCGCCTGGCACGTGCCACGGGGCGCGTGGGAGCGTTACTGACGGCGGCGGCCGGCTGGCCCGTGCCAACGTCCCACTCGGCGGCGCCCTCCCACTCCACGGTGACGACTCTGGACAGCGGCCGACCTCAGCGGTGTCCGACCTCCCGCGCGCCCGGCCTGTGTCACACTGCCGTCCGCGCCGCGGCGCGCGGCCTCCGCACCGCCAGAGCCCGGTCCAGGCGCCTCTCTCGGCCACTCACAGGTCCCGCCGCAGCCTCCGCGCTCTCCGACCCGCGCAGACGGTCCACTAAGCGGTCTCCATAGCCGGGCGGGGCGCCGGGGGCGTCGGCACGCTAATCACAACACCACGCCACGCCGCCTCTCCATTACCCGGAAACGGCCTTTGCGCGGAACGCGCCGATGCGAAACGGCGTGCGCCGTGCGGCGCAGCCTCCAGCGCCGGCGTGACGTGCGCTGCACGTGCGAGCGGCAGACGTGCTCCGACGAGCGCCAGACGACGTGCGCCAGAAACACCTCGCCAAAACGTGAATGAGCTGCCGGTCGGCGTGACGCCGACGCACTCGCCGCGCGCACTGTACCGAGCGGTGACCGACGAGCGGCGGTGCCGGCGGGCCGCCGCGCTACCACGGAAACGACTGACAACAGAGCTCGCGCCGCCGAGCCACACGTGCCGCCGGACGTCACGGAAACAGCCGTCAACAGTGCACGTGCACACCTCGGCGGTGCACGGACGGCGCGCACGACCCGTGGCATCGACGGCGGCCAGCAAGGACGGCCGGCCGGCGATCGATGCCAAAGTTACATCGGAGCGGTGTGCTCACCGCGGCCGGTCCGTATTGAGCCGGAGCTGCAGGCCGTCTTTCCGGCCGGTTAGTGGGTAATTATGGGCCTGCAGTGGTGTACTGAATGAACGGACCGAGGACGAGTCGGTGTATCGCCAGAGTGGATGAATCGACTGCGTAGTGTGTCGATGACCGAAACGAACCGGCGCACTACGGCTGGCTGATATAAATTTGATTCATATAAAAAAATAAACATAAAGGGGCAGTGCTACGAAGCATGACGATTGTGAATGGGTTCGTATGACTTAATTACTCTTCCGTATATGCTATTTTTGTATATGATAAACAAACATGGTAACAAATTTATGTTTAATTACCATAGTGCCGGATAGATTTAAACACCAATGTCCATATCCTTACCAGTGAAGGGATAGAAACGGCCAAAACGCAGAATGCCAAATAAATCGCAAATATGTTGTAATAGCTCGGCAGGGAAACTTAGATCATTACAAATGCAGTCATTACGTAAGACGACATCCATCAATCTAGACCTGATTTATCAACATATCTGCTTAGGTGCTGCATGGAATTCCATGGATTAAATAAATACGTGCGGATGTTTGCAAAGTAGCGCCTAGATTATATAGTTTATCAATAAACCAATTAGCTTAAAATGCTTAACGCATTAAAAGGCATGAAGCACATGCTGACAGCACGTATCCGACACCTTAGGTACTCAGTTGGGGAAATATGAAGTCTGAACAATTATGCAAATGCTCCTCAATTCTCGAGTTTATTTCACAACACGGAAGATATGCGGATGGTACCGGTCGTTCTATAGGGTAGTGTGGGGTAATTTGAACATATTTTTACGTCTTCTCCGTTGTACCAAATTCCAGTTCAACCCTGGATGAAGAAAAATTGTTTCAGTAGCGCAAGTGTCACTTGCTTTCACCATGCAAGTCTCATTTTTGGACGAGCCGAGCATACCTTGAATAGCATAGCCTCACTTCTCTACCAAGTCACGGTGTGTTCAAATTGCCCCACCGTGGGGTAATTTGAACATAATGCCTTTACCTGTCATAAAAACGATAGTCTCGCCAGCACCGATGTTGTTTGACCCATAAACAAATAGGCAGAACAATTATAAACATACCTTCACTTGAAAAATCAACACAACAGCAAAAATAACAGTTGCAGAGTAGCAATATCTGCACGCTGCACACCGGTCAGTTGACAGAATTCGCCCCTCTTCAATTAACAGAACGTCTATCATTTTTGTTCGATAAAAACTCTCCCAACCGTACTACATCTGTTAAAGTGGTGCCAATCGAAACCTGGACATTTGGAGTTCTGATTTTGTCCAATGTCCAATTCGGAATTGGTTGGACAAAGGTAGCAGACTGGACAACATTGGACGATGGCTTGCTACACTTCAGCGCTTTTTATAAAGTAATCGTGCATAGCATTGATTGGCGAATGGAAAGCTTGTTAAGCTCTCAATATAATGAACACTTTTCGGCTGGTAAAATTACATGAGGAGATCCGTGTAAGACGCCCAGGGTCGGTAAGAGGCCCCATCGCTTTTTTTACCAAACCAATAATGTTATTTATTTTTTAATGTTCTTGTAAAGCAGAAGCCCTCTTGAAACAACAACTCACGAAACCTGAGGTATCAGGTGCGTCGCAGCGACTTTTGGTAAGCCTGTTTCTGTTTTTGCCCCTTTACTTGCTAGATATATGCATCTTTATCACCCTTATATATCTGAAAAAACAATGACTATCAAATGCAATCTTATCTCATCGAAATTGTCACATGTTAGCTTCAGAATAGACCATGTTCTGGTGCGCTGCAAATGTGTCATAAACCATAAATATTGTGACGTTAAAACACTGCATTTTTTTAAGAGGCCCTCCCTTCGAGGATTATAAAACGCCCCCCCGATAAAAAACGCCCCCGATGCTAAAACGCCTGCACCTGCGGCAGGCGTGGCATTCTTTTTTCAAGGAGTTTGTTTTTGTTTCTTTTTTTTCTGTTTCTTTTTCTAGAGGTAATAGGTACAATTTTCGTTGGTCATCAGCGTTTGGTTGTGCTAGTTTTCGCATTGTTCGAGCGCTTTGGAAGTGTTATTGGTTTCGATAACACCGTATTTGCTTAGCTTTTCGAAATAAAAGGCCTTGCAGCTGTGTTCGCAAAACGTCTTTTACAAGTCGACTTGCCTTGTTAAACGCCCGAGGGGGGGGGGGGGCGTCTTACCATACCCATAGTGTAAGAGGCCCTTTTGCAACTTTTTCCAAAATGTTAAAGTTTACGGTTTGTGTACCCCCTAGATTCATTTTGAATGCAAATATGTATGGGAAAATGATGCATGCTCACAGCGCATGCACACGTTAGCTCTTAAATATTATCAGTTGTCTAAAAATAGCAACTGAGCTTAAGGGGGGCCTCCTGCACCACTCTCCCCTAAGCAATATAAATGACGGTTTTGAGTGTTGATAGCTGCATAATTTTCGGACATATTTGGACAAATAGTTGACTTTAACATTTTTGGACGGAAAATCAACAAAAATGCCGGACAGTAGACGGATATTAGACGTAACTTTTCTAAAACTGGCATCACTTATACGCTACTGCCTTGGGTCGAAAATATTGGCAAAAACAAAACTGGGGGCGTTGTTTTTTTTTTGGAGCTGTCCCTGTCTTCATTCAAATTCTCACACTATGTTCAAATTACCCCACGCTAAAAGTTATTTTGCCATTATAAAAAACAGGGTTCAAAAGCAAATTTCTTGGATTGAAGGCACTGATTAGGTCATTATACAACAAAAGCCGTTGCGTATTAGGCGCTAGCAATGCAAGATTTTGCGCTGCAATGAAGTTGCAATGACGTGTTGTTAGGCGTTTTCCTTGCGAAATTGATTTTTTACACTGTGCGTCAACATCTTCATTCCCTGAAACTTTAAACCCCGTTCATATGATAGCCCTTTTAGTTACGATAATTTCTCCCATTGGTCTTATTGTCATGCCACTTATGGATTTTCCGTAATTTTCTGTTATTCACACTATGTTCAAATTGCCCCATATGTTCAAATTACCCCACCCTACCCTACCCCAGCCTGGCAACTGCAGACGGCAGCGAGCGGTGGCCGGTCGCCAGCTGGCCCCAGGCAGCGGCCCGGCCGTACATGAAAACACTAATTCTGGGTCACCGGAGCGGTAAGTGTCGTGCTGCATTGTCGACCCGTGCCCAGTGGTCGCCCCGCCGCGCCGGAGGAGCGACTGGATCAAACCGGCTTCAACCGACGGAGGACGACGGACGTCAGGACAAGGGAACGGTGTGGATCTTTACGATGAAACATGCGAAATGAGTCATTTTTTCCGAGGCGTGAAACTTATCCCTGGAGTGCCTCCGATATCACTGTCTGGTGTCACTGTCGCCCATTACGTTGCTGCCTTCGAGCTCCTCCCTTTATGTCCTCCCTGCTATCACCGTCTGGTATGCCTTTCTGCATAATGTCCCGGCTTCCCTTGTGTCACAGTCCTGTGCCTCCCATATGACACTCTCTGAATGTCCTGATGTCCTTGGTGTCACTGTCCTGTGTCACCGTCCGGTGGCACCAGCCCGTGTCACCCTCTTACCATCGCTCCCTTATGACACTGTGGTGTTCTGGTGACCCCGTCCCAGTAACCGGAGCCAGCGCGTGTTGACACCACACCGAGCCACAGCGGGAGGTCACGCGAGTAACCGGAGATAGTCGCCGAGGAGGCACGTGCCGCTCCACCAGAGGCGGAAGGCGCTGTCCGGTCACGGCTGGATGACACCCACTATAAGGACGCGCCAGGCTCTCCGTTCTGGGACGAAGTATGTGAGATGACGTGCTCTGTCGGAAGCCATTGTATGGATATGATACATGCCACGCCGCCGGCTGTGATGAGGGCAGATGGAAGACCGGCACGGAAACATGGGTGGGTTTTATGTATGGTGATGAGGAGAGGAACACACTACACATGATCATGATGTTTATGATTGATACAGACTATTTATATTTTTTTAATAATATTGGAAAGATTGAACAAATTCCAGGGACAAACTCAACTCCGAATAAAAATAAATGCAAAAAAGCGTTTACTGTACCTAAATGTTGGGTTAATCCTTATCAAACGTTCTACCTAAAATGCAAATATTAAAATGGTTATATGAATTTTCACGGTGGCAATTTCGGAAATTAGAGGACCACCGAAATTTAATAGCAAGCGCCCAAATTCGCTCCCCCATGTCTACCGGGATAAACGGCATGTCCGTTTGAACGCACAAGCTAAATTACCAGTATGGTGCCACAACTTTTAAAAGTTCATAGGTCCATGTCTGTTGTCTATATGAATTGCGGTAGTCACGTGACAGGCGTCGAATAACGTCCAATGATGTTGTCAGTCACCAACACTAGGAAACGGTGACAGCGTGCGCCATGTCAGCACAAAGTATGATTGACATCCTGTAAACAGCTCTGTCGCCCTGCGGCACGACACCTCTGTCACGCCGCAGTTTCAACCATCCCCTCCCAACCAGACAACCCCAGAAGAGACCTCACTCTTCCCCGGGGACCGCCCACAACAGTCACCCTCCTCTCGCTCTAAACAGTGCGTCCGCTCGCTCAGTTCTGGTCCTCTTCAACCAGTACTGCCGCGTGACCGCCATCCGACCGGCCGTGGCCCCCTCTCACTGGCACATAGCCAGC